TTGCCCCTGTGCTCTGCCCACAGATCTGCTTCAAGTACTTCTGCCGCTCGTGCTGGCACTGGCAGCACTCCATGGAGGTCCTGCGCCACCACCGCCCGCTGATGCGCAACCAGAAGAACCGGGACTCCAGCTAAGGGGCCGCCGGGCACGGGGCTGGCACGGGCAGAGTCCTGGGAGAACCTGCCAGAGGAGAGCGCAGCAGCGCCTGCCGGAGCCAGGCCCGGCTGGGAACGTTCTTCCTGAGGACTGATGGGGAAAAAAACAAAAATCTTACATTCATGTTTGCACTTGCTGGTCTTTTTGTTTCTGCACTAATGCACAGTGAGTTTTGTTGGGGTTTGTTTGGGGGTGTTTTGAGGGGGGGAGTGCCCCTCAAGCCATTCTGCAGTTCCCAGACTTTGGTTCCTGGTTTGCTGACGAGAAGCAAAAATTGAAAACGAATAAACCCAACCAACCAAGGGCCATGTGTCGCGGAGGCGTCGCCGCAGGCGCCCCCGCCCTGGTTTTTTTATTTTTTAAAGGCGCTTTTTTACATTCCTTGCAATACTGGTGGAGAGAGCGCAGGTCTCATTGGTCATTGTTTTGCCGTTGCCATACAGTGCCTTTCCATTCATTTACCCCCACCTGGATGGTGTGACCTGGGTGTTCAGCTGGCGTTTTTTACTGTAACAACAAGGAGACTTTGCTCTTCATTTAAACCAAATCATATTTCATATTTTACGCTCGAGGGTTTTTACGAGTTCCTTTTTACACTCTTAAAAACAGTTTTTAAGTCGTTTGAAATGAGAGATTTTTTTCTTTTCCTGGCAGCTTTTAACATTATTGCAATTTGTGTCTGGGGGCTGATGGCAGGACGTTGTAAATCCAGGGGTTTGCAACGGGACAGGCCGGGCTTTTTTTTTGTTTTTGGAGTTGAAACTGGACGGGATGAGGATCTCTGAGCTGCTGTATATAGTTTTAAATAGTTTGTTGCACTTTTTTAAGTTGCACTTATGGGGGGTTGATAGAGGTTTTTAATCACACAAAGTCACAGGACTTACCTTTTCTTTTGTAACAAGCTAAAAAAGGGCTGCGTTTTGGTGGACGATGAAGGTTCCTGGGAGCCCTTTCTCTTAGAGGGGACAAGTAATTTTCCTTTCCTTCCCGAGATGTTTGGAGTATCAGTGCAGTCGACTGAAATGCTGCTGCTGGGATTTGAGACCTTAATTATGCTGATCATTATTATTTTGTTACTTTCCCCTCTATTGGAAGCTGTGTGCCAAAGAACCAGTGTCATAATTTCTCCCTCTTTACTATGATTATTTTTTTTTTCTTTCCTGCTGAGCTGATGTTGCATTGTTGCATATCCCAGCTGCTCTTTGTGGGGTTTTGTGAAGCTGTGTGTGAAGTCTCTACCTCATTGTAGTATATGCAGGCAAGACTGCACTCTCCTACAGACGTGTGGAGTAAGCTGTGGTGTAGTTTTTGGCACATAATAAACACGTTGCAGCAAAAAAAAAAAAAAATTTCTTGTGCCTTGTGTGCTTCATGGGAGATCTCTACAGCTTGGAGGCTGTGGTGTCACTCCCTGGAGGCGTGGGGGAAGGCATGGATGTGGTCTGGGGAGAGGGGTGGATGGAGCCATGAATTGTGGGTGCTGTTGGTGGGTGACTCAGCTGCGAGGGAGCTCTAGCTGCTGCCCAGTGCATTGCTGGGTCCCACTTACCTGAGGTCCCTGCAGGCCCCTAGGCTGCAGCTGGAGCTCCCCTAATTGCAACTGGAAGCTAATGAGGCTGATGGGAGGGAGCTGTGTTCTCCCACTGTGCCAGTGGGGGGGCTGTGAGGGGCGAGGGCCCCAGGGCTCCTCTCTGGGGCTGGGGAGGGCTGAGTTGCCCTCAGGCTGCCACAGAGGACACTTGGTGTGCCCCGTGTCCCTGGAGCAGGGCAGCTCCGGCCTCCTTCCATGTCCCACAGCGGCCTTGTCGCGGTCACCCCTCCTCCTTTGGGACTGGGCGCTGCGGGTCTGCGGATGCTCAGTGCCCTCTCTGAGGGCCAGGTGTGGGAGGTGCCGCTGGCACCACAGCTCTCCCCAGTTCCCTTCCCGGGCGGCTCCCTCCTGCTCCGGGCCGCGGGGCGCAGCGGAGCGCCTCAGGCTGGCCCCGCCCGCCGCTCCCGCCTCGCCTCGGCCCCTCCTCCGGGCCCTCCGAGCCGCCAGGGGGCGCGCTGGCCGCTGCTGGCTTCCGGCGCCTCCCGCCATCCTCCGCTCTTTTTCCGCGGCTGCCGCCGACATGGTGGGTCCGGGTCCCGCCATCCGCCGCCATCCTCGGGAGGGCCCGCGCCCCCGCGGCGGGGAGCGGCAGAGGGGGCCGGAGGGGACCGGGGCGAGGGGCAGTGGGGGGCGGCGGCGGCCGGGATGGCTGGGAAAAGTGGGGGGACCGGGGGTGGGGGGCGTTGGGCCTGGGCTCGGCGGAGCCTGACCGGCGGCCCTGCCGCCCACACCGCGTAGGGACGCGTTCGGACGAAGACGGTGAAGAAAGCGGCACGGGTGATCATCGAGAAGTACTACACACGCCTGGGGAATGACTTCCACACCAACAAGCGCGTGTGCGAGGAGATCGCCATCATCCCCAGCAAGAAGCTGCGCAACAAGATTGCGGGGTGAGGCACTGCGGGCTCGGGGCACTGGGGGGTCCCGGCTGGGCTTTAGAGGGTCGGAGGGGGTTCGGGCACCGCGGGGCTCCGGATGGGCTTCGGGCAGCTGGGAGTGTCCCGGGGGTTTTGGGCATGGGAAGGTCCTGGGGGATTCGGGCACGGCGTGGGGTTCCTGCTGAGCCCTGCATTCGAAAGTGATTACGGTCCCGCCTGTGGCCGGGTCATTGATAGTGCAGGGAGAGGAGAGCGAGAGTTTTCCCGTGTTTGGGGGGGTCTGTGTCTCCCCCAAACCCTGTTGCTGTCGGACACTTTGTCTCTGATGTCCTCTGGAGATGGTGGGATAATGCCCGGGTCAGTGGTGGGATATCGCCGGGGTAGATGGTGAGAGCTGTTCTCATCCTGCTGTGGTTCCGGGATTTGGGGTGTGGGGAAGGGTGACGTGAACCTGGGAAAGCCCAGGACACCCCCGTGTCCCCACAGGTATGTCACCCACCTGATGAAGCGAATCCAGAGGGGCCCTGTCCGCGGCATCTCCATCAAACTGCAGGAGGAGGAGAGGGAGAGGAGGGACAACTACGTCCCGGAGGTGAGGCTCCAGCTTCCCCATCCATCCATCCTGCCTCACTGTATCTCCATAAACGGTCCCAAGTTTTAAAACAAACCCTCAGCCAGGAGGAGCTGAGGAGGGTTTGGATCAAGGAGGCCGAGGTAGATCCCTCCAAAGCTGCCACCTGGCACAGGAAGGACAATCGGCTTCTCATGGTTTGGTTTTCCTAACTAAGAATTCGGGGAAAAAGTAATTTGATGGGAAGCAGGAAGGTATTTCAGAGCAGCTGAAAATCTGCCCTGCAGTTGGAATCCCCAGAGGGAGGTTTTGGTAGAACCCCCTTGCCTTAACCCTCTGTTTGGACAGGTCAAGATCTCACCTGTCACCTGGGCGGGGTGGTCCAGGAGGGCTTCCCTTGTTCCAGAAATGTGATCCCGTTGCTCCTAAATCTTGTAGCCTTCAGGCACAGCACATCTTACCCTCTTCCCATCAGCTCCTGGCAGAGCTGCTGGTTTCTGTGCTGGTACCAGAGAGGGGTTACAGGGAGGGGACTCCAAGCAGGGAAGGAGTGTCCGTGCTGCAGCTGTGGGTGTAGTGTCAGCACACAAACCTGTGCTGTTTGTGGTTTCTTAGAAGAATCCTGGTGTTACGTAGCTATTGGGGAAGGAAACCTGTGGAGGTAGAGTTTTTGGGGTCTGGAGAGGGCTGGAGGAGGTTTTGCTGGGATTAAAGAGCAGAGGAGCACAGGTGTCCTGGAGGTGGGACTGCCTTTGTTGGTGCCATGGTGGCCTTGTGTCACAGGGCAGCTGTGAGTGTCACTGATGACTGCCAGGACTGGCGCAGTTGAGGGTGCCATGCCAGCTCCTCAGCAGCCTTGGCCTGGAGCAGGTTGGGCCTCAGTTTCCAAGGATTTGCCATAAACCAGGCTTTTCCCTCTACTGCTAGTGGCCTCTTGCAGTGTTCAGTCGGGAAAGCTGTGTTCCATCAGGATGCTCCTGGCTGTGCTGCTGGAACTGCTCCCCAGAGCAGTGGGATGAGAGCAGAGTGGCTGTGGGGACATTGGGGTTGTTGTGGGGCTTTACCAATCACACCTTTTCTCTCCCCTCTGTCCCCAGGTCTCTGCCCTTGACCAGGAGATCATTGAAGTGGACCCAGACACCAAGGAAATGCTGAAGCTCCTGGTTAGTGGTCACAACTGTCCCTGCCCAGCTGCTGGCATATCCCTGGCACAGCTCCTGCTGCCCTGAGTGGCTGGATGGTGTCAAGGGCATCCCTCTGCCCCGGGTCCTGTGGGAGGATTAGTTCATGTATGGCTTTTGAAAGGGCAGAGGCATGGGGGCTTTGCCACCAGCAGGGTGAGGGTGTTCCTTGCCCTCCATTCTGATGATTCCCTCACCAAGGAGTCAATCTCTGGAGCAGGGTGGTCTCCCCTTCTTAGGAGACCTGTGTCCACCCTTGTGCTGCCCCAGCACCTTCCCACACCTTCCTGGAGGAACTTGCCTCCACTGTCAGTGGGCAGGATGCTGTGACTGATGCCATTCTTCCTGTGTTGTTTTCCAGGATTTTGGCAGCCTGTCCAACCTGCAGGTGACCCAGCCCACAGTGGGAATGAACTTCAAGACGCCCCGAGGAGCGCTCTGAGTCTGTCCCTGTGTGTCGCTTTTCCAATAAACGTGAGGAAACCATCTCAGCCTGCCTGGTCTTTAGACACCCAAGGGATGAGGGAGGGAGGGTTCTTGGGGTGCCACATTGGAGCACACAGAGGACTCAACACCTTCATGTGCACCAGCATCTTTTTGGGTTCTTTCCTGGCAGTTTGGGGTGTGAGGTGTAAAGCTGTTATTTTAGAGGCTCTCCTGCCTTTGGGGCAGTGGAGAGAACAACCATGGTGGCTCCTTGGAGCTTGTGGGAGCCTGTCCTAGGTTTTCCTGTGCTTCCTCCGAGTGGACAGCCCAGGAATCAGGCTGTACCATAATAAAAGTTGCTTTTTGCTACCCTACTGGTCACTTCCAAGTGCTTAAACGAAAGGGGAAAAGTCTTAAAATTCCTTGATTAAATTAAAGTGAGGAGACCTTGGATTGTCCCTCCAAGAAAAACTTGCTTAAATTAGTTAAAACACAGCTTAAACCACCATCCCTGCCCCGGAATAAAAAGAAACTATTTCTGTTTTGGGGGAAAATGTCTGTATTTATGTTTGTTGTGAAATTTAGTTTTAGTAGTTACTTAAAGAAGCAAATACTGCTATAACTGTAGCCAGTACTTAAATAACACATTGAACTCTCTGAGCTGCAGTTGGATAATTTATAAATCATCTGGCAGCTCTTACATTGAAGTTTTTGCTGCTGCAGCCACCTGTTCCTTACCATTTCCTCTTCATTTTGGTCTTCTCACAATAAATGCTACATTTGCTCTGAACCCAGTACGCTGCATAGCCCGAGGTGCCAGGGATAAAATCGTGGAGTTCCCCCTCATATTTCTTCATGTCCCGTGCAGAGGCATAGCCTGTGGAGGGAAAATGGGCTCACTGAGTCCCTGCTCCGTGTGCTCCATCTGCAGCCCTTTCCAGGTGGATTTATTTACCTGTCACCATGTTATTTATTGGGTATTCCTGGAGGGCACGGTATGGAAATTCTCCCTGGGCAAGTGCTTCAGAGTCTGTTTCTTCACTGCTGTATCAGGAGGGGAAAAAAATCTGTGTTTAGTTCCTGTGTGTTAGGATTGCTTGGAATCGGGGGTGCATCCAAATCCTGCCACCGAAGGTAGGAAAATACCTCTCAGCCAGGTCTAGCACTTCCTCCTCTGATTCTTCCTCACAGGCATTTCTTGCTGCTTCTGGTTCCTCTGTCGGATTTTCGTTGGGCTGTGAATATCAGCACAAGAATGAGTTACAGTTGTGCCCTGGGTCACCTGCAGAGCACCTGGGAAACATTCCCAGTGCATGAATTGTTAGGGCTCATGATTTTAAGCATAATTCAGAGTTAAATTTTAAATTTAAGGGCACTCCTGCTTCAAAAGTGCTGGCAAGTTGCTTTGAGAGGAGAGTGAGCAGTGACATGGGGAAGGAAAGCAGCACACCAAAGGGCTGAGCTCAGCCTGTGGCAACTGGAATGCCTGGAACAGCACACTGCTGACTAGATATGTCTAGGGCAAGGGAGGCAGACAGTCCTTCCAGTGCTGTCTCCCTCAGGATGTCATGGTGGCAGGGACACACAGCACAGCAAGCATTAGGTTGGAGAAGACCATCGGGTCCAACCAGTGACCATCACCACCTTCCCAACCAGAGCAGAGCACTGAGTGCCACATCCAGTTTTGGGCAGCCCGTTCCAGTGCCTAATCACCCTTCTGGGAAGAAATTCTTTCTGATGTGCAACATAAACCTCTCCTGGTGCAGCCTAAGGCAGTGTCCTCTCATCCTGTCCCTGGGAGCAGTGCCTGACCCCCACTCAGCTCCACCCTCCTGTCAGGGAGTTGTGCACAGTCAGAACGTCTCCTCTGAGCCTCCTTTTCTCCAGGTTGAGCTTTCCCCCAGCTCCCTCCTGGTGCTCCAGACCCTTCCCTGGCTCAGGGCAAGGGAGGCAGACAGTCCTTCCAGTGCTGTCTCCCTCAGGATGTCATGGTGGCAGGGACACACAGCACAGCAAGCACAAGGAATCAGAATCAGGTTGGAGAAGACCAGTGACCATCACCACCTTCCCAACCAGAGCAGAGCACTGAGTGCCACATCCAGTTTTGGGCAGCCCGTTCCAGTGCCTAATCACCCTTCTGGGAAGAAATTCTTTCTGATGTGCAACATAAACCTCTCCTGGTGCAGCCTAAGGCAGTGTCCTCTCATCCTGTCCCTGGGAGCAGTGCCTGACCCCCACTCAGCTCCACCCTCCTGTCAGGGAGTTGTGCACAGTCAGAAGGTCTCCTCTGAGCCTCCTTTTTTCCAGGTTGAGCTTTCCCCCAGCTCCCTCCTGGTGCTCCAGACCCTTCCCTGGCTCAGTCCCTTCTCTGGACCTCCTCCAGCACCAAAATGTCCTTGAATTTAATTGAGGGGTCCAGAACTGGACACAGCACTCAAGTTGGGGCCTCAGCAGTGCCCAATACAGGGGAAAAATCAGGACTTCCTGGTCCTGCTGGCCACACAGGCCAGGTGCCACTGGCATTCTTGGCCACCTGGGCTCACGTTCAGCTGCTGTTGATCAGCATTCCCAGGACGTTTTTTGCTGGGCTGCTTTCCAGCCACTCATCTCAGTCTGTAGCTGTGCAGGAGTTATTGTGGCCAAAGTGCAGGACCCAGACCATGGCCTTGTTGACCCTCCTACAAATGACCCTGGTCCATTGATCCAGCCTGTCTGGGTCCCTCAGCAGAGCCTGCAGCCTCCAATAGAACCACACTCCCACTCAACTCGGTGTCACCTGTGTATCTAGCAATGGGGGACTCAGTGCCCTCATTCAGATCTTCAGTAAAGGTACTGAATAGGCCTGGGCCCAGCACTGATCCCTGGGGGGATCCTGGTGACCAGACACCAATTGTCCCAGCTGTGGGCTGCAGTTCTCCAGGAGGTGCTGTGGGAAATGGTGTCAAAGGCTTTGCTGATGTCCAGATAGGCACATCCACACCCTTTCCTTCATCCAGTGAGTCCCCTCGCCATGAAAGGAAATCAGGTTAGTCAGGTAGGACCTGCCCCTCCTAAATCCATGCTGGCTGGGCCTGATCTCCTGGTTTCCCTGGATGTGCTGTGTGATGGCACTGGAGGTGACCTGCTCCATAACCTTCCCTGCCACCACTCACTGAAAGGTCTGTAATTCCCTAGACCCTCCTTCCAACCCTTCTTGTGGAGGCGTGTCACATTGTCCCTTGTCATCTGGGCCCTCCCCAGTGAGCCAGGACTAGTGATAAATGATGGACAGCAGCTTGGCAAGCTCTTCCTCCAGCTCCCTCCTCGCCCTGGGATGGATCCCATCCAGGCCCATGGACTTGTGAGCATCTCAGTGGCACAGCAGGGCAGTGACTGCCTCCTCCTGGATTTCTGGGAGTCCATTCTGCTCCCCATGCCTGTCTACCAGCTCTGGGGGCCCTTTGTCCTGATCCAACCAGTCTTAGTGTTGAAGGCTGAGGCAAAGAAGGGGTTAAGTACCTCAGCCTTTTCCTAGTCTTTGGTGATGGACACTTCAATAAAGAATGGAGGTTTTACTTGGCCCTCCTTTTGTTAATAAAGTATTTATAAAAATATTACCCTTTACAGAGGTGGCCAGATTAAGTTCTAACTGAGCTTTCACCTCTCTAATTTTCTTCTTTCTGCATGACCCAAGGACATCTTTAAATGCTTCCTGAGTTGCCTGCCCCTTTTCCCAAAAATTATACTCTTTTTCCCCTGAATTCCTGCGCAAGCTCCCTGCTTAGCACAAGCTCGTCCTCCAGTACATACATGTGTAATACAAATTTTTTATCTTACCTGTTCTTCAACAGCATCTGCCTTCTCCCAAATAAACCGGCCAATTTTCCTTCTGATTTCTGACAAGAACAACAAAACTAGTGACTGAGAGCACCAAAAAACAGGGCTGTGGCAGTTGCTGCCAGTGTGGTGCCCTGCAGGTGCCTCTGGGGACAAGCCCAAAGGCAGAGTCCTGCCCCTGGGTAAGGGCAATCCCAAGCACAAATTCTGGGTGGGCAAGGATGGATTGAAAGCAGCCCTGAGGAGAACTTGGGGGTGTTGGTGGATGAGAAGCTCATGGATATGACCCAGCCATGTATCCTGGGCTTGTCTCTGGCATCCCCAAGAGCAGCAGGACTGGAGCTCCTGGAGAGAGCCCAGAGGAGGCCACGGAGATGCTCTGAGGGTGGAGCCCCTCTGCTCTGGAGCCAGGCTGGGAGAGCTGGGAGTGCTCACCTGGAGAGGAGAAGGCTCCAGGGAGATGTCAGGGCCCCCTCCAGGGCCTAAAGGGGCTCCAGGAGAGCTGGAGAAGGACTCGGGACAAGGGCCTGGAGTGACAGGGCTAGGGGGAAAGGCTTCAAACTGACAGAGGGCAGGCTTAGATGGGATACTGGGAAGAAATTCTTCCCCTGTGAGGGTGGTGAGAGCCTGGCAGAGGTTTCCCAGAGCAGCTGTGGCTGCCCCATCCCTGGGAATGTTCAAGGTCAAGCCATTCTGTGATAATAGATGGATCATACTCTGCCCTCTGGGAGGAAGAGCCGCTCCCAAGCAGAAGGAAAAGTCCCTCCCTGCAGTAACTGTCAGTGCCAAGGCTGTACTCGTGGGGGATTTCCATGGGAAAATATCCCCAGATGATTTTTTTTGCCTGACCTTCATGCAGGCAGGCAGGGGGCAGGACGAAGCGGCCCAGAGCCACCGAGGGCCTCTCTCCATCTCGGGTGCTGGCACACACTGAGAGGTAACAGGAGTGAAAGACCGTGGCTCTGCCCTCCAGGTAACTGAGACTCTCGTGTATGCTGGAAGAGAGAAAGAGAGCTGGTTTCCAAAGGAGAACCTGCAAGCAAACCAAAACCAAAATGTTTAAGATGGGTGTTGTCATGAAACCTGCTCTGATTTTTTTTTGCCAAAACACCTAATTTTCTGTGATTTTCTACCTGTGAGACTCTACCAGTCACGTCCCCTTACAGTCCCACCTCCCAGGGCCAGCCTGGAGGAGGGACAAGAGTAAATGTATTTTTAGGGATTACACAGTCCCACTCTGCTCTTGAGGTGAAACTACTTCGGGGAGGGCAAAGACAGGATTTTTCTACGATTATCCTTCACCACACTGGTTCCTGCTCACACAGCTGAGCACAAGGAAGTGGAGGTGGAGGGTGTTCCAGCCCTCACTGTCCTCCTTAGAGAGGAACTAAATCTTGTTTGCTGGGTTTAAGGATGTGTATAATAATTACATTTTTTCACAAGGAACTATCTAACAATATACATTGAATATATATATATAAAATTATCCAGAATTCCCCCTTGAGGAGCAGGTTGGTCTGGCAGCACGTTGTTGCAGAAGAAAAGTTGTTATTCTGTGTTTATTGGAATTCCCCTCACTTAGCTGGAGTAGGTGGCTGAAAGATTCCAAAATTCAAAACCAGTTTTAAGCACTGGTGTGTTAAAAACAAACTACTTAGTCCAGCCTAGCAAAGCCTAAAAGAAACATGGCAGCTTCCTTTCCCATATATATTTACATGACTAAATAATGAGTAAATACAAATATTCACTGATCTTGAGGAAGTGAGGAAGATCATTAAGACTTTCCTTTTATATCTACAAATGTGCCATAGCTCTCTATTTTAATTTTTTTTTTAATTATTAAGCATTTCAGTCCTTTTCCGTCCATTTTTACCCCAGTGCTTCCTTTTAGCATTAATTCACACTGGCTTTTTAGCAAAAGGTTCCTTCCTTGGGAATTGCATCGGCTCTGTTTTAGATGCTGATTTTCCAGCAGATAACTCACAGCCAGCAAGAAAACAGCACAATTAATTGAATTCATATCACAGTTAAGCCCCTCTCAACACATGATGTTTTTTTCTCTGTTCTATCTATCTATAACTTAGTGTGGGGTGAGTTTTCCTGAGCCCGCTGGGCAATAAGATCCTGGCAGATCCATGACTTTAAAAACACACCCTTGACTTTTACAGGATGTCAGTATCCATGAAATACTTTTCACTAAATACATTAAAGCGTCCTTTGCCCACCTGCGGGTGTCGGGGTGGGCAGCATCGCTGCTGAAGAGGTAATCAGCATCCAGCCAGTGGGCGAGTGTCCCGCCAGCGTCTGCTGCAGGGGACAGGGAGCGAGGTCAGGGTGGGCACCCAGGGGCTCCCACCTGGGGGTGACCTGGGTGGGGACAGCTGCTTCTGGGGCCGCAGAGACGGGCCCTGAAGTGGAACTGTGGCAGCTCCCCATGGCTGTGGGACTCCCATTGCTCCCCCGAGGGTTGTTCAGGGCTTTTCCCCAGTGTGAGGGCACCGTGGGCTGGCCAGACTCGTGCTCTGCCCTGTTGTGTGGGTCTCAGTCCCACAGAGGGGTGACAGGGCTGTGTCCCCACTGCTGTTCCCTGCTGAGGAATGATGGGGCTCTGCTCCCCTCCTAACTCCCCCTGAGAGGTGACAGGGCTCTGCCCCTGCCAGATCCCCGGCGGATTCCTGCAGCTCCGTGCCCCGGGGCTCCCCTGGACTTCGCTGTCGTCTGCCCCCTCACCCCACAGTCCCCGCGGGCCCGGGCTGACACTCTGCGAGAACCAAGCACTGTGTCCGCGGAACATCGCGGCGGGAGCCGCCCTGAGGGGAGCGGCCGTGAGGGGAGACGAGGGCGGGAGCGGCCCTGAGGGGAGCCCTGAGGGGAGCGGCCCTGAGGGGAGACGAGGGCGGGAGCGGCCCTGAGGGGAGGGGCCGGGGGGAGGCGGGAACCGCCCTGAGGGAACATGATGGCGGGAGCGGCCCTGAGGGGAGCGGCCGTGAGGGGCCGGGGGGAGGCGGGAACCGCCCTGAGGGGAGATGATGGCGGGAGCGGCCGTGAGGGGAAGCGGTGGTGGCAAAACCCGGCGAGAGGGGGAACGGCTGGAGCGACGTCAGGGAGATTTAAGCCGATATTAGGGAAAGGTTCTTCCCCCCAGTGTGGCCGGGCACTGGGACAGCTCCCCAGGGCAGCCCCAAGGCTGACAGAGCTCAAAGGGCACTTGGACAACACTCTGAGGCACAGGCTGGGGTTTTGGGGTGTCCCGTGCAGAGCTAGGAGTTGGACTTGATCCTTGTTCACCTAGAAACTTTTCTCAGAAAAACCCTTTCATTTTGCTGATTCCGGAAACTGCTTGCAGAAAAATTGCTTTTATTTCATACAGCACAAATGAGGCTTGTTTGATGCTTGAAGCTTTCCAAGATATCCCTCAGGATAACCCATCCCCTGGGAACTGCGGCCAGCAACAGCGGCAGCACAGCAACATTCTGAGTACCTCAGAACCCCAGGGATGCTGGATAAAACAGAGAAGGTATTTCTGGACATGGTCCTGAAATCCAGCAGCTAAAGGAAATCAGCCTCTGATGTGGTCATATATTGTTCTCCCACAGACAGGGGATTTTTGAGTAAACCATCAAAATGTTTCTTAAGTAGGAACAGAAAAATTCCACAGATGCAATCGGCAGACCTCACCAGTGTGGGAAGATGATGATGTGTCCTTTGGGGACAGGGTCACTTCACATTGCCCCCACTGAATCTTCAGTTCCGGCAGCCGTCTCCACTCCTGTCCTAATTAGGGTGAAGCACTCTTGGTGGAGTGGTTACCCAGCAATTATTCTGGTGCCTCTTGAGGATAGGAAAGGCGGAGCTGAGGTGGTGGAAAGCACTTTTGTGGCCCTTCATGATCCAGGGGAGGAGGCCAGGACATGTTCCACAGCTCCTTGGGCTCACACAGCACCTTGTGCTGCTCCACCAGGATGTCTGAGAGAGGACCTGAAACCTTTTCCCCTCTCCCAGGCCACCTTCTCTCACACAGGGAGCACTGCTGGTGCTGCCTGGTTACCAGAGTGCATCTGGTGCTGCATGCTGAGCTGTGTCCTGCTGTCCCATGCTGAGAGATGAGCACTGTGCACAACCAGCCAGCCGTGACAGCCCCGCCTGTCCTGCCTTGAACACCCTCTGATGAACTCAAAGGGATCCCCATCACAGGGCCCTGCCCCTCAGCAACCTACCATGTAGGTGCTGGACCTGCAACAGCCTGGATTTTCCAAATCCCTAACAAAAAAAATGGTTATAATGAAAATAACTAGGGAACAAGACAATATCCATCAAGAATCCCAAGTGTATCTTCTGTGACACCATCACAGCCAAGAAGAGACATGGGATGCCCTGAGCCACCAGGAACCCTTGATCCCATACAAGTGATCCTGGTTAAATCCATTTGGATACAAATCCTCAAGCAATCACTCTGATTTCTTCATAAAATAAAAATGAGCTGATGGCAGCAGCATTGGTTTTGGGTAGTGTGAATCCCCCACAGTGCAGCAGAGGACTGGCCCCAACTGCACTTCTCCATGGGTTCAAGCTCAGAGAAAACCAGAACTGAAATTCACCAACACACGTATCTGCTTCCCCCAGGCTCAGCTTTACACCACACACACCAAGATGCATCTGCCAGAGCTCTCCCCATTGGAGTGAGCACCATTCCCTGCCATTGCTCCCTGTGTCCCCAAGGCTCTTTATCCCTTTTTAAATCTTGTTCCTTCCCTTCAGACCCATGCAGGAGCCTCCAGCCAGGCAGATACCACATCAGCAAAAAAAAAAAAAAAAAAAAAAATCTTTAATTCTCTTTTTATTGATGGAAAAGTGTTCTTGCATCTTCTCAGTGGGATATAAAAAGCACAAGTGCCCATCATGCCACCAAGGCTACATACCCACCCACAACCCAGTGGCCATCAGAGCCTGTGAAATCAGCTTGTCAAATGACTCTGAAGAAACATTTTAAGGACCAGCAGTTTATTAAGGTATACAAATCCTGCAAAATTTTGAGCAGCGAAGAGTTACTATTGTTTTTTAAGCAGTAATGGGGGCATTTTTAGCTACATGTTCAAAAAGCCTGGAGGTCTTCCTTGATGCTGTGGTTAGGTGATACTTTTAACAAGGCTTATTAGCAAATTTCTGAAAGGAAGTTCATCAGTCTTGTGGCTATGATGAAGAATGACAGAAGCTGGAGAGGATGTTGACTTGCAAGAATGTTTCAAATCTGCATGGAGAGTAGATTGACGTCAGTCACTCTAGTGGCACCTTTAACTGCAAACATTTTAGGACTAAAAACCAGTTTCCTCAGAACAGTCTGACTGCAGGGTCCCTGCAAAACCACCTTCCAGTGAGATTCCAGTGAGACTTTTCTGTCCCCTCCTTGGTGGAGTTCAGAGTTCAACATGTCAAGAGGATCCTTGTTCTCCACCCCAGGGAGGAGTTTGTCCTGCTCTCCACTCTTTCCATGCCAGCTCAGTAAATCCTCGTCCCCAGACCACAGTGAAGTCACCCACGTCCCACCTCCAGCCAGCCATGGCATCCCTCACCAGTGTCCCACCAACCACAGCCATGGTGCAGCACATTCCAGACCCTGCCTTGGGGCCAGGCTCACACCCCCACTGCCCAAAGGTGAGCGACAAACCACAGGAGTGACTGTATACAACTTTTTGTATCTCTGCAGGAACTGGGGCATTTCATATAAAGGTCCTGTCAAGGCTTGTCCCAGGAACAGTTAATCATTATCCACCCTCTAACAGGGCACATAATGTAGCTGTTTCAACCAGGATTACATCAGCTCAGCCACATATTCAGTTTCTTTTCCCTATCAAGTTTTAAACTAGAATTTCCCCATTGCTACATCCAGATCAGTTACACACAGAGAGTTTGAAGAACTTGGAGCCCTCAGACTGAGACACCGGTGAATTAAACCCAAAGGTGCTTCTGGTTCGTGCCTCATGAATCCCACAGGAGGCTGCCCTGCCCCAGGGTTACCCAGCCTGCCCCCCACTCTGAGGCACAGGGATCTGGGGTACAGTGACTTCCTGCTCCTCCCCTGACAGGAAACAGCACTTCAGGCCTGAGGGAGCTTTAGGGGACCTGCCACAACTCTCTCTCTCTGCGGTATCTAGCTGACACAGCAACGACATGCAAGGAAGATTTTCTCCAAAGTTCTCCTTTTTTTGGAGCAAAGGACTCTTGTAGGCACGGGATGGCCAAAACCACACCAATATAGTGGGCAGAAAGGGCGTGGAAAGAGTTTTTTTGTGTCCCAAATATGATCTACTTTTTGGCTGTGATTGCTCCTGTTCCTCAGCTTTGCAAATCTCCACCACCCCCCCCAACGATACAGAAATGGGTCTGTATTTCCCTTACCAGCATGGCACACAGCATGGGAATAACTCACCATGGATTATCCCAGATGCAGCTCAGAAGTCTGGTTCTGCAGGAAAGAAGCACAGAGCATTAGACATGGGGGCTAATGGCACCCCCTGTCCCCACAAGGATTCCCCCAGAAACAGCCCCAGTGTGGCAACCAGCTGCCTTCAGCTGTAGCTGAGGCTAAGCCAACACCATCAGCCCCGACCACTGCTGTGTTTCCTTTGTCCTTCTTTATACTCACACAATATAAAGCAAAGATTCACTGCATGGCCCACCACCTTCTAGTTAAGTTCACCAAGGCAGAGATCGGTGACACAGCATCACCAAATCCCTATGGATTAACACCAGCGTGTGTCCCCTCTGAATCCTTCACAGGTACGTGTAACAGCCTTTTCAGCTAACACCAAGTTAGCTTTCTATCTCTAACACCTTCAAACCTTCAAACCCCACTCCGTTACAACACCCTGCTTCCCAGGAAAAGGAACAGAGACAGCATGGATATAAAGCAAGAAGCTCCAGCACACAGGAGGGAAGGCACAACTTACCCCAGAGGTAATTGCGTGGCTCCGGCATGGTGGAATGCGCCACCCTGCAGGAGAAGACGTCATCCCTTGTGGGGACGAAGGGCACATAGACCAGGCGCTGGAACTGCCACTTCTCGTTGAAGGACAAGTCCCCGTACTTGACGCCGGGAATGGGCTCCCCGTTCTTCAGGAGTTTGATATCAATCCTGGGTGGGTGAAAGCCAGTGACAAAGCAGTGGAGGGTGTTCTCCTTTCCCTCCTCGGCGCGTGAACGGGCGTAGACTTCCACCTTCGGCGCCTCTGGAGAGAAGGGCGAGGGCGCGTGAGAAGCGGGCCAGCCGTGGGCATCGCCTCGATGCCAACACTCGCTCACCCACCCGGGCACAGTGACCCGGACCCGCCGGGACCCCGCAGCCCCTCACCCCCGTCAGGACCCTTCGCGCCGCCCCAGGCACTCACCAGCGGCCGCTCCCAGGCCGAGCAGCGCCAGCAGCGCAAGCACACCGAGCGCCAGGGCCGCCCGCGCCATCGCCGCCCGCCGCTGCCTCGCCGTTTCCCGGAATGTCCCACCCCTACCCGCATTCCGCCTTTTATAGCCTCCGAACCCGCGGCCAATCGTGGCGCGGAGTGGCACCTACGTCATCAGTTTCCAGGTAGAACGGGAGCTCTGGGGTTGTGCGAGCCAGCTTGGAAGCGCTTTCGCTTTCAGTTCCGCCCTGGGTGGGGGGAGAAACCGGGCAGAGACCCCGGGGCGCGGGCAACAGCGGCTGGCCGTGAGCCCGGGTGGGCAATGGCACCTGGTCTGGACCAGCCCCGGTGTGGCCGCAGGCCCAGGGCAGCGCCCGTCCCCGGTGCTGGGCGCTGCCGA